CCCCAAAACCCCAAAACCCCAAAACCCCATGAGTCTCTATTTCACTAATATTTCAAAATCAATCATAAGCACTCTAATTTAAATCATAATAATGTGCACTAGCTTTTTTAATTGAATCAATTTTCTTTAAATTTATATTTTTTCCAGTTGGTCGCCAGACCTTATTCCTTAAATTCAAAGGCCTCATATTCTAAGTTTAATAGCCATTTCTTCTAGTAACTCCCCCATTACTGTTAACGCTAGCATTTATATTTGAGTACCCTCCTCCATTGCCATTAATAATCTAATTTATCGATTCAATAAATGAGTTATCAAAAGCATCTTTAGAATCAGTATTTAATGGCCTTAAGATTAGATTATTCTCTCTTTTTGTAGGCGGCAACTGAGGCCTCAAATAAGCTTAAAATCTATTGTTATTATAACCACCATTATTATTTAATGTTATGGGGATTGTATTCTATCTGAGTGGTGTTTTGTTTTTAATAATTTTTTTCTCGGGTAGAGTTTCATAGGGTTTTGAAAATGAATTATTATCCATCATCCTACTTGATGATCTGAACTGGCCTATTGAATTGTTTTGCACATGAAACTGTTTGAAATTTCTAGTTTATATGCTATTAACACTCCCAGTTGATCCATGAAATGATTAGTTCAACTCCATTGGAGTTATCTTCCTCATGTAATCAAAGTCATGATATATCAGCTTGTCATTCTCGCCATAGTTATTGCTTGAGGGTGAGCTATTCTAATTTACTTTTATTAGAGTTGAAGCAATTACTGGTAGATTCTTTGTATTGAAATTTCTTCTCTCACTATGCTTGTTTCTTAGAGTCATAAATTTCTCATCTGGTTTAATTTAACCGTATTTGCTTTCATTTTGCTGTATCAGCATGTCTTTATCTAGATTTTGCTTTGTATTAGATTTCTTATCTTTGTCATTCAAATCTTAGATAGCTCTAAGATCTTACATCGTTTTGAAGGCTGTCTCTTCAGGTGGGTCTTCTCGCTCTGCCTTTTTAAACTCTTTATCAATAAAGTTTTCATCTGCTTCACTATCATGATCATAATATCCCAAATATTCCTTGATTTCTTGCTTGAATCCCTCAGGTATCTTTTTATCAGGGTTTTTTATTCTGAATTATTGATATTAATCTATAGTTTCTACATTAGACTTGTACACATTTTACTCAAAGAAACCTATTCGCTTGAATCCATCTGGAAATACAAATATACCTAAACCGTTTTGAACTCCATTTTCCCAGTATCCCTTATATATAGTTCCATCTTTCCAATACATCTCTCCATAGCCATTTCTTTAGTCATTTTCATAATATCCCTTGTATTTATTTCCACTTTGCCAGTTAAATTCTCCATAGCCATGCTTCTGATCATCTTAATACTCTCCTTCAAAATGATTGCTAACCTTTTAGCCTGGTTCAATACATTTTTTCCATTTTCCCTTTCCGTTCTTCATACCTTCCTTGAATTCACCAGCATAAGAGTTCCCATTTGCCCATTTATACTATCCAAAGCCATTAGGATTACCGAATTAGTACTAGCCTACATATTAATCTCCATTTGAGAAGAAATCAGAACCGTTTCCATGTCTCAAGCAAGCTTTCCACTCGCCTTCATATTTATCCCCGTTTTTCCATTAATGAACTCCGTAACCATCAGCCTTTGAGTTTTTCCATTAGCCTATATACGAATCTCCATGAATGCCTTTCCATATACCATATCCTTCTTTTACTCCATTCACCCATTCACCATCATAGACTTCTCCATGTTCCCATGTAAATAACCCTTTACCATGTGCTTTACCTTCAATATAATCTCCTTAATATGTATTTCCATTAACAAATTACTCGAAACCTCTCCCATGTCTCTTATCACCAAACCAGTCTCCTTCATAAATACGTCCACTATGATAGGCAATAACCCCTTTACCATATCTCTTTTTCTCTTAGCACTATCCTCTATAGATAGCATCCTTATAATGCTTTATAGCAAATACATCAGATTGCTTAATCTCATTAAAGTCAAATAGATTACTAATCATCTCATAGTTTAGCAATTGTTCTGGGTCTATAATCTAAGTTCTATTTAGAATTTAGGGCTAATTGTCTATCTTAAGATTTTTTAATCCATCTTAACTATTCTCTATAGATCTTCTTAGAGATCTCCCTTAGTCTTTACTTATTTTTATATGCTATTATTATTTTTTCTGATTCTCCTAAATATCCTCTTATTCAGGGATATATTTATTCATTTAATTGGATTTCTATTATTTCAATTATTTATAACTTACAACTTCATATTTGAGATAAATACCCAGAGGGGTTTTGGGGTTTTGGGGTTTTGGGG